AATATTCCATGGGCTTTGGTTTCTTGGTGTGAAGCAGTGCTAATATATAAAAAAAATGCCGGAATGAGGATTTGGTTCATTTGATGAGTCCATTCAAAATTTTAAATCCTAGAAATCCCCACGGTGTGTCTTTTATAAAAGCAGTCTTCTATTGCATCGGTACTAAAATGTGAATTTACTTCCTTGACCGTTTTAATTGCCAAAAGTGACCAAAATCAGTTTTCTCGTCACAGTATAACTACACAACAAAGCCCGAGAAAAGGTTTGGAGAATTAGTGAAATGATCACCTATTGTAAGGTGAAATGCTTCTTAATCAATTTCTCCCACTTACCGTTTTAGGGAAATGTATGGAGATTTGTCTAGGGAGTAGAGGGTTTAAGGAATCAAATGCTGATGCTTCAAATGATTCGCTGGGATTAATATCAATACACAATAAAGAAAAAAGGTTTTGAGAATTGATGAAATGATCACCTAAGGTGAAATACTTCAATTTTAGGTTTCAAGGAATTCAAAAGCTGACTCTTCAAATGCTTTCGACTGGGACCTCACCAAGAGAGGGTCAGAATTTAAAATCTACCTTATTAACTTAGTCAGTTAGAAAGAAATGTACTACGTAAATTAACACATTTTGTGCCTCCAGTACACACTGTGAAGAAAACAATGTTATTTCATCTATCGCTCTAAGAAAGCCTCGTGTACCATTGTTGAGATCAAGCACGAAGCCCTCTTTTTTTCTCCGATGTAGCCCGTATTTGGTTCCCGTTTCTCCTTGTACCCTCCTCCCCCGCTGAATTTTTGAGGAGGTGCAAAGGCCTCAACAATGGCTGCTGGGGAGACTAAAACACAATAGACATGTGTTCAATTTACAGGGGCGGATCTAGGGGGAGGGAGCAGGGGGTGCGCACCCACCCGGGATGACCCGCGGCTGCTTTCTAATTAAAACTGTGCAGTCTCTTCACAGTCATACAAAATCTGCTCTATCGTTTGATCTGTATTCTCAGCAGTTCACACTATGTTATTTCCTAGTCAAAAGCCCTCTTGTTCGTATTCGCTTTTAATTTTTTTTACGTCATCAGTCAGTTAGTGGTGCACCCCCTCCTAAGAAAAATCCTGGATCCGCCCCTGATTTACACAACATTAACACAACCACAGAACTCCGAATAAAACTTAACCGGTACTTCTTGCTGCCGGATCTTGTTCTATTCAGATGCTCATATCAGACGTCACTTCAAGACGTAAATAAACCAATATGTACAACATAAAGAGCTGATCATCTGAGAAACGCATTACTGTTGGCGAGATTGGCCATGGTTCTCGGTTCGACACAGGATCTGGTACCTGTTTGCAGAGGTCTGTTTACAAAACTTTTTAAAATTTGATACGAGCACAGGATAAAGAAATAATCTGAGTCCGGCGGCGACAGGAATTGATTCCGTACACTTGTCGGATGCTCTAACCACTGAGCTACGGAAATCAACCTTAAACGTAAAAGTTGGACCTCGCTCACTACTTTATTTACGCGCGTAAATTTTACGTGCATTCGTTCGGGAAAATTACGCGACAGTGGAAATCAAACCTAAGAATGATGTTAAGTAAGGTCCCTTGCACATGTCCCATAATGCAATGTTTTCAATTTCTCTTGGGACGGCTGTAATACCCAATAATGCCCTATAGTCTGCTACTCAGCCGTTTCTAGTACGGTTGTGTAGCAGACTAGTATTACCCAGGAGAAATAAAAAACAAAGGTTATGAAAAATTTGGGAGGGGGGGGGGGACGGGGAGCAAATAAGGTGCATTATGGGAGATGTGCAAGTGGCGAATTGTTCTCGTGTGCGGAAACGCGTAACCTTCGGAGCCGAATGGATTGGGTTCGATCCTGCTATCTCCCATTCTCTGTTTTATAAAGCGTTGTTATGACAAGGAAGAATTTGATACTGATCGTTGTTAGGGCTTTTTAAAAATTCGGGTGTTTGGGCTGCGTTCCTTGACTCTGCTTTCGGGCGACATGACTTCGGGCGAGATGACTTTCGAGCGACTTGACCGTAAAGCCCTGAGAAATGACCTTTCGAATATCATATTTATACAGAAAACGTACTCTGTTATGATACTTATCGAAATGGTTTTGCTAGATTAATTTCTTTTCTAATCCTATCCATTGTTGATTGAATTTTACTAGTAATTGACTATTTTTTAATCATTGGTAGTATTAAACATTAAAAGTAAAATGAGACAAATTTGCATAAATTCGAAACAACTGGCACTTTTTTAAAATTTCATCTTATGGTAATTTCGTTACAACATTTGGGTGCTTAATCTTGGCCAGAAATTACAAAAGTCCCAGAAATGTATCTGTGAAAGTTTTTACTTTGCCTGTGGCCGCCGAACCAACCTTACGTGCTACAAAGCACGTATAGCAGATAACAAAAAGTAGCAAAAGGTGCACGTGCCAATTAGAAGTCGCTGAACAACGTGACTGCCTGGAAGAACGATTTTGTTTTGTAAGCACGTGGTCTTTGTACAGAGTAAGTAAGCTCATGTCCTCTTACAGGACCACGCCTCATGCCCAGTTTTCACCCTGGCCCCCACCCCAGTAAGAAAAACGTGGTTACCAAGCCCTTTGGCGCGTTCAGTTGCGCGCTCCGGCTGTTCTTGAAGAGGTTGAATAGAGCTGTTTTTAACACTTTCAGAAGCGTTTAAATATGTCTAAAAGAGTAAAGTCTAAAGCCACTGTTTCTGACAGCAGCGAAGATTCAGAAGAGGAAGTGAGTAACAAAACAGTTTTCGTACCTACAGAATGAATGTTCGTAGTATTTTTCAACGTGGTCGGTTCCTTGTAGTCTGTATGTCTGGCTGAAACTTAATGTTACTTCTTTTCTTAGGTGAAATCTAAAAAGGCCAAGACGAAGGCAGACAAATCTTCAAAGCCTAAGGCCAGCTCCTCCAGGAACGAGCAGGGTGATTTTGTTTTTCAAGTACGTTTTAAAATTTTGTAAGCTTTCTTGAAAATTCTTCCTTGTAGAATAGCATGCAGCTTGCTTTCTAGAAATTTCTAGTGTTTTCCCAAGAGCTCTCGGCCGAACGATCTTATCCCATCATCCCTTGTGACACGATAAAAACAGTGAAGTAGGGTTCCATGTCCCGTGTCCCATGGTACAAAAAATAAATGTGAAGACTTTATTTGTATTGGTGTGGGGAGGTAGAGCAGGGGGTTCTCGCTGTGGCGGTAGCGGTAGGGGGAGGGAGGGGGGCTTGTCCTAGTAGTGTGCCCTAAACTTTGGTGTCATGCCAAGAACGCTTAAGTATGACTTTGGTATTATTTTAGAACAGTGGCTGGTATTCAGCATATCTGACAAAGTCAAGAGTTACAATCACACAGCCACAGTCACACAGTTATGATCAGGACATGCTGCATTCTAGTTTGAGTGGATGTTGGAAGAGTGTTACTAGCTCTACTGATACCCCTTTTGCCACCTATACAATCCAGATGAGGTCATCCCTTCACCCTTCCACCCAGGGGGGGGGGGTACCCCCTTATATAAGCTCCATAGGTATGTACAACCCCATCGGGTAGGGGTTTTGCCCTGTTTTGGTCTGAAAACGGGTATATACTTTGCCCATTTTGTTCTAGAATCGGGTATGGTTTCTGAGGGAACTACAGGAGTGTATGAAAGTATTTATAGTTTCAATTCCAAATGCCTATGTTCACGCAAATGTTATTGAAGCCAATGTATTCAAGCAAACATAATAATTTGACAGGTCTAATTACCTTATTGACATATGTCTTACAGAATAATTGCAAGTGGGTGAATAAGCAGCATCAAAACAGAGTCTACGGGCTCCCCCACCTTTTTTCTCCCCCAGGCCATGCTTAGGCTCGATTACCAGCCGCTGTTCGGGAAAATGAGCCAGCACTCATCCCCCGAAAGAGCGGCTGGACGCGTGCGATTTCCTTTGTTAGTTTAAGCCAATCATGTTACCGCCTGCAGATTTTCGTCTGGCAAAGATTGTTGCAGAAATTATCACATCAAAACAGAAAGTCCTTCCCGTTCTTCCTTGATCCATCGCATGGCGAAGCCATTTCGACGGCGCGGAGACACTAGGCGAAATCCTAGAGTCCGAAGGAACACAACGTTTTGTTCGATTGTTTGTTGTGAATGATTTTGCCTCTTCAAGGATCTTTTCAAGACGCTTTAGGTGTCGATGACTGCGTTCGTTATAGATGTAACCATCGACGTTTATATTTGACAGAGGAACATTTAATACGCTGGAAATTCTGTCTGGTAAATAAGACACTTTTCCATTTAATTTGATCCGCCTCCTAGAATCAGTCAGTTCGGACCCACAGAAGACGAAATCCAACATTCGAAGATCAAAGAAAATTAACTACATGTCGCCGTGTACAGAAATCTTTTTCACAATGTATGGAAATGTACCGAAAAAGCTATTTCGAAAGTCATTTGGGAGGGTAAGGGAGGGCTCGATGCAATTTTGAGCCAAATAAATAAGAAAATTGGAGACTGGTTTCACTTCCAGTGACGCCTAAATTGTCAACTTTTTAATTACGTCATAGACAAGGTCAACGGGTCACGCATCCAGCCGTCTCTCTTCGGGGAGGATCAAAGACCGGACCCGGGAGACGGCGGAAATCGAGCCTAGGCCATGCTTGGCTGGCTTCGCTTGCCAATTTTCCTGTTTGCCTTGCTCCACTTGGTAGCCTCTTTGCAGGCTATAATATTTTGTAACAGGGAATATTTGTTTCTTTGAATACTAAATCCTTATAACTTCGTTGTGAGTTTGGTGTCAGCTGCTTAGCAGCTGCGGTTACATTTTCCTTTCTAGATAAGTCATGTACTTTTGATTTTCCTTGATTACATTTTCTCATCTATAACAAGTGAAATTTATATACTTTTGATATTCCAGCTTACTGACAAAAGGAGAGTGTCAGTGAGGGACTTTAGAGGAAAACTGTATGTAGACATCAGAGAATTCTACGAGAAGGATGGGGAATATCTTCCTGGCAAGAAGGGCAAGTACAAATGAATATTGAAAATGTCAGGTTTTATTATTGTAGAGGAATGTGTGGTCAAGTGGTCAACACCTCGAACTCCAGATCTGGAGGTCTGGGGTTCAAGCCTCGCCTGTGGGGAGTAGCAATACTCCTAGGCATGCTTCATTCTAAGGAAATCAGGATAAGCCCCAGCCATTTGGGCCATTGGCTTGTGTGCAACTTTCCCTTTTTTACCAAGTTTTATTGAATAAGTCTGGTTTTTGGCAAAATACCATATTAACAGCTTGTGGTTCTCTTCAATAATGTTCAACTAGGTATATCTTTGAATGTGGAACAGTGGGAAAAGCTGAAAGACCTTATAAATGACATTGATGAAGCCATTTCAGAACGTGGATAACTCTGGATTAGGTGAGTGCACGATGTTCAGGGTGCAAAGAAAGTAATAGTTTTACAGCTTGCCCTCCAGCTTGACCTTTCTTACCTGTATGATGCGGTTTATTCTGTCCTTTTCCTTTGCTTTTCATCTCGATTTTTTCCCCTTTGTCTAGTACTGTTGGCCCTTTCCTCCAGGCTTTTTGGGGTTCTGCCAGACACCTATGTCTACTTTAAATCTTGTTCTTATCACAGAGTACTGTAAATAATTATATTATACATTAAAATGTACTAGGGCTAAACTTTTGTAACTTAGGCCACTTCCAATATTCTTCCGCATATGTTTCTTGCACTTACATCCGATCCCAGAAAACATCTCTGCACACCCATATTAATACCAGGATCAGAGGCTAGTCATGATTTTTTTTAACATGATCTTGTTTTAATACTTCTATCTTTTAGGACTTGTTGGCACAACATAGAGACTTATGGATGGTAGTTTATATTGCTTTTAAATAATGTATTTATTTGGTTTTGATAATGTCATGGCTGGTAGATTGCAACTTGTGGGAATGAGTTCCCTGTTGTGTTTTCTGTAGTTTTTGGTCAAATTAAAAAGTAAAAATTTTGTTATTCTTTCTTATTTGTAACACAAGATATATAGAAAGCAGAGAAAGTAACTTAAATCTATGACTTGGATGATGGTTTTGTTGCCAAAAACAAATAAAAGTACAGTTAGTTTTATGATTTCCTATTGTGTTATGCCTTTTTCATGTTCAAAACTAGTGCGTAAAAGTGTGAAATTGCTTCAATACCAGAAAAAAGTCTGTCATGTGGTTTTGAGAAAAAAAAAAGATAGACCTGCACGCTTGCCCGCTTGTTAGATAAGTTCTACACATAAGTTCACTAAAAAAACATATTTTGAATAATCTGAACTGAGTGCTCATGCATAACTTATTGTCTTCTAAGGTTATGTGTGTAACCTAAAGGTCATAAGGAGGGGTTTGTGTCGAAAGAAATGAAAAAAACTCAGGGAAACAAAATGCCTACAGCAGGCATACATTGGCCTGTGTGTTGCCGTGGTTTAATAGTTTCTTGATAAAATACAGAAACTTTTGTCAGTAAGGAAAGTTTAGGTGTCTGTACAAATAGAAGCAAAAAATCTAGACTTCCAAACCACCAATGAATTCTTTCACAGTCTGATCAGTCCTCTTTTGCATAAGATTCCTCTTCCCTATAGCCTTCTTAATTTCATACAGACAACACCAGCAAAAAGAACGTCTGCGTGAGAAGCTATTTTCCCCATTTTTATAATGAGATAAAGTACGAGGGGGGTGAATGGGGGTATGCAAATCCACCAATCCGTTATGATTTATCAACCAAACCTGTCCTTAAAATTTCGCCCTGAATCCGAAATCCAGGCAAAAATATTTTAATTACACGCAAAGTCCAAAATCCGGGCCCAAAAAATGGATGAATCCACAATCGACTGCATGGCTGTCACTGCTAGGGTAATATGGCTGTGCTCATGCACAAGGTACTGGTAATACTGCAGAGTTTGTTAGTTTGTGCCTCCTTGCTGTTTAGCTTCTGCAGGCATGGATCCATACTGGTTTCCACCTTTTTATGGAAAGTGGTCAGATTTTACACAATAAATATCTGTCTGATTTCATTAAAACGTAGCCACTAGGTTTTCGCCTGGCGCCGCGCCCAGCCCGGCTCCAGGCCTGTCCGGTGTCCAAAAGAGTAGGGGGCTTGGCATCTTGGTTGGTACAGCTGGATAGCCCAGGGACTGCCCTAACAGTGGGTGGGTGGATCAGGCCTGGGGGTCAAAACTAGTGGGGTAGGGAGGGGGCTGTTTTGACACAACCCCTTCAGTAAGCAGCAGTGTTCAGTACAGGCTTTGACTAGCAGCTACCTTGGTCTTAATTTGCCCCAGCCAGCTGAATCAGCCCTCTGCTGAGAATGATTATCATGATAATTGTAGAGCTCAGTGGGATATGCAGACAGTCACCCATTGTCCTGGGTGGGGAGGGTCAAAGTCTTGGTACCAAGGACACACTTAGCATAGGACCTTTAGACACTCCCTGAAGCCATGTTTTCATAAATCCAGACAGAAATATTTTTCGTGAAAAACTCTAAACTTTCAAAGTTGATATCTGGAAAATGGTTAGGGCAGTCAGTAAATTTCCTGTCTGAATGACTCGGAAACCCAGGAAAGGGGACTTTGGGGAGTTAAAAGCCAAAACATTTCCCAGGGGATCATGCCCCCAAACCTCCCTAGAAGATGGAAATCGGTCAGTACGTATTTATTCTAGATCCGCGCCTGCTCTGCAGGCTTCAAGATTGACTGGCTATACTAAAATGTGACTTGACTCATGTCAGGAGTAAACTTCCTCACAGCCATTTGTGTCTCATCATGCTGAAATCACCCACGGTTTCTGTCAGGGCCCTATAGCTGGGGGATGGAACAGGCAACAAGCAACACCTCCTTGGCCATCCATCCACCATTTTTCCTTTTCCCGACCAAGGAAACAAACATTTACGGTATTTGTATTCCCAGTAAGGATACACAAACAAAACAGCCAATTTGTTCAAGACGAAGCAGCAGATTTTTGGAAGAATCCAGCAACCTTGTCCCCGGGGGTCTGGGGCTTCTCGGGTTTTTCAACTACCCATGTCTGAAAAGGCCCTGGGGACGAGGTTGAGTTAACGGTTGGAACTCCTGTTTGAAGAAATGGCGGCTTTCATAGAATTTAAAGTGCCTCAAAATAACCCTATAATACCAAAAGAGCAGGAAAAGAAGAAACTAGCGCAGAAAACTCGCTCCAGAGGTCATCTGGAACGACGATCTTCTGCTACTTTGCCATTTACTGCTTGGGTAGAACCACACCATGGCCCGTCGACACACAGCGCTCGCGAAGAAGAACTTCGGTTGAAAAAGGTGATAAAAGAAAAGCAAGAAAGGCTTAGGGGATTTCAACAAGAGGTTAAAGCGAGAGTTAGAAACCTGGAACAAATGAAACGGGAAGAGCAACATGGAATGTCTGTGGAGGCTTTTGAAGTTGAGAGAAATGTTGTGCAGCAAAGTTCGTTGCCAAGCACTGTCAGACGGGACAACTGTGTGTATCGAGATGATTCTGATCTAAAAATTCAGCGCAGTGTTACTCAAGATCTTACTGCTGTTGATGCTGCGAGTCAGCTATTGCAGGAACACGCTCAAAAGATCCGGAATTGTTCGAAGCATGCACGTAATGTACTCAGCTCGAAGAGTCTTGGAACAGAGTTGGATAATTTGAGCAGGCTACTCCCTGGAGGTCTGTGGAAGACTTCGCCGACCCGAGATCATGGTTCGTCTCGGCAGGGAACTGAACGTTCAGGTCAGCAAGAACACGATTCGGAAGATTTAGACAGACCTATGGGAAGGGAAATAGGCGATTACTGGATCGGTGAAAATGCAATTAAAGATCATGAATATTATAATCATAATCAATGCAGTTATTTTGGATCTAGATTGCCAGAGCATCAAGTGAAACATGTTCACTTTCAAGATGTCCAAGATGAAGAGAATTCAGAAATTGAAAACAATGACCTAAATGTCCAGCAGAAAAAATCCGATACTCAAACAAACAGAAAGTCTAAAACCCTCGAAGCTCTTTTACAACCTTCCAAGCTGATGGAGGATAAGAAAGCACGTGCAAAAAGTCAAGTTGCTGTTTACAGGCGTTTGTTTATGGACATTGAACGGGAACAAGTGAGAGAGAACATAAGAATGAAGGAACATCGTAAGAGAATGGAGGCTCTGAAAGTTGAAAAGGAAGTTGAACGACTTGAAATAGAACAACATCAAATTGACAAACTGAAGATGAGAAGGATGAGGAAAGAGGAAGAATCTTTCCTAAGAGCTCAAGAACAAAAGAAAATTGAAGCAAACTTAGCTAAAAAGCATAAGAAACTTCAAAAAGAGAGGGAAACAGAGAGATACATAGAAGCTTTGCAAGCAATTTTGAAGGAGAAGATACAGAGCAGAAATATCGTTCTTCCTCCCTTGTGCTCATGTGGACCCACAATCTGGGATGCGAATCCTGACACATGTGCAAACAACTGTGTTTTCTATAAGAACCCTAAAGCTTATGCTAAGGCACTATCGACCATAATTGCATCTTCAAATCTTGATTGAAAAGCTTAGGCAATATCAGTATTTAAATGGTCAAAACTTCGTGTACTGGGCACAGATGATGTAAAACAAAAGACCTCTTTGTTTTCTGTTCAGGGAAGAATCTGTATTGATTCATGGGTTTTGTTCTTTACTGTTTTCTTTTACATCATATGTGTCCAGTACACTAACTAAATGCCTATTTAATGCACCTTTCCATTGTTTTGAACAGGTTATTATTTTCAATTACTGGAATAGCAGGTAACTGTAGCCTGCAGTGCAGCCGGCCCACGTATCGCATATAGTGTGGATATAGTCATAAACTATAAACAAGGTTTAAAGTGTCTGCACGCAGGCTAGGTAACTGAGGTGGAACACAAGGTCACTATTACTAATAATAACCTTCTCTTCCACCTCAGTGGCCACAATAATGACCTGCTGGTTCGAAAATAGCCCAAGAAAAGAGCCTACACTTTGTGACGCCACCACTGGTTTTCCGGTCCAATGACGTCTGAGAAATGAGCGCAGAAAATTCTGTACTGATGATGCATCACTGGCCAGATCTGGGTAGTGTTTCTTATTGGCTGAAGTAAATTTCCCATACGGCACAACCAATCAGAAGCAGTACCCAGATATGGGAAGTGATATGTCATCAGTAGTTACACGGAATTTCTCAGATGTCATTTCGTTGGGAAACCAGTGGTGGCGTTGCAAAAAGTCAGCTGTTTTCTCAAGGTTAGTTTGAAAACAATGAGAAGGTGCATTGCATCAGATAATGCCCTCGCTCTTAGCACTCCTTAAAAATAATGACCAAGAGCATAGCACAAGGTCATTATTTTAAGAAGGCTGAAGAGCTAGGGTGTTGTCCTGTATTCAATTATGTACACATCTACGATGCTCATGATAGGGCTTGTCACATAATCACCCAGCATTGTATGAAATAAAGGATATTACATGGCAGCGCAGTCATACAAAATTTCTTGTTGAGTGTTGAAAAATATTTCATGAGTTAGTGCAGTGAAGGAGTGAAATAAAGAAAGGCCGGATTGATCCGTGTGGCCATAGCAATAGCGATCTTTTCATGTTCTCACGTGAAAGCTCACCTGGCATTTCATTTGTGGTTATATGATAAAAAAATATTTGAACCTGCAATCTTGTCTTCTTTGAACAAGTCAGCAAGGCTAAGACTGGCAAATAAGGAATGCCTGTTTGCAGGGTATAAGGAATTATTCCTTTCAGTTCCAGCTTTATATTATTAGGGAGCTTTAGATTCTGAGATGAGAACGACTACAGGTACAAAATTTTCTCAGTACTAAGTAGTGCTCACTTGTGAGTCAACGTCATTTTGGCGGGAAAATGTGATAGCCGTCGTCATTCTACCACAAGTTTTAGTGAGAATTTCGTAGGGCGGGAACAAGTTATCAAATTTTAGATGTTTAGTCATTTTACAACCGGGAAAGGGCTGAACCTTCTCCATTAAAAATAACCACACTAATTTTTAAGGTAAAAAATAGTACAATGAAGCTTTCCTGGTTGAATGTTTTTCGACAATACGCGAAAAAATGAAGTATAATCTCGTACTCAAAGTAGTCCTCCTACACAAATCTAAAGCTCTCTATTATTGTGAACCCCACTCCTATGAAGCCTTATCAGTAATACTTAAACATGATTGGATTCATCATCCTCATCATCCTTCGGTTTTGCAGCAGTCGCCCACAAGTTTCCTCCATTGATGGCACTCTTGAGCCATCTCCAACAGCTGATTGTCATTTAGCAGATTATTAGGATCCCCCAGAACACAATAAATATAATATTGGTAAACAAGGTTCACTGACTTCCGGGTTTCTTCCTCCCATGAGTAGGAACATACATTACAAAATCTCTGATTGGATTACCGAGATGGACCATTAAACCCTGTCTCTTAGGATGTAAAGAATGTTATTGAAATAATTATTTATTTGGGAACTAATCAGGCAGAGCCCTACATACAACATTGTTTGACAGATCTTGTGAGTTATTTATTCACTGCAAACACCTCTTTACAAAAAATAAGTCCACCATGTTACAGGAAACCCTCTTATAAGACAATAGTAATAAATAAGTGCACATCTTTTCATGTTGTTGGTGGTTGACTTGAATCTTTCTTGTTAACATCTGAATCTGTTGAAGACACTGGAGCTTCATTGTTTCTTAAACTGGAACCACAGCGAAGGTTTTGCATAGCCTACAAAAAGGAAGAAAACAAGAGACGAAGATGGATGTGATTAAGTGGACAAGTGGGATAGACTGAATTTTGAGACAAAATTATCACTTCATGATGATGGTGATGATGATGATGACTGCGGTACAATGGTCACAGAAAGGGTTGATTGATTGATTGATTGAAATGGAATGGAATGTGGAAATGATACTTTTTATGGAGGAGGAAAACTGGAGAAAACCCCTTGAGCAGGGCTCAGAATAGCAACAAACTGAACTCATGATATAATGAACAGTAGGACAGAAAATCAAACCTGCACCATAGTTAAGGTGGTGAGCAGGGATATTGCTAAAGCCCAGCTACTGGCTCAATTCAGTGGCTAAGATAATAGAAGTCAGCAGTAGAAAATGTAAGAGAGTAGACAGTCCAGGGAGGAATTGGGCTAGCATAATGATTATTTGTGTCATGTAAAATAATATTAACTGGATGAAAAGACCTATACCACAGGCAGACCACCCTCTGGTAGTTAGGAGTCTCCTTCTTTAGCTCTAACCCCAAAGTCAAAAAAATCATCTTCCAAAATAACACTTAAAAGAACTTAAAAATGACTCATGACTCAGTAAACATTAATTTCTTCAAACTTTTATTGAAACAATTTATGTTAAAATCTGCATTTTGGACCAAATTATAGCCACCATAATGTTCATCTGAATTTTCTTCTATGAAGAACAAAATATCGATGCTCAGATTTCAATCAACAATGGCCACACTAATAGAGGGTGGTCTCCCTGTGCCTTCATGGTAACTACTTGGCCACAACATGCCGGCCTCTCTCTCTTTCCCCTTTTTTCCTGTTAGTACCTTTGCAAGATCTCTCACCTGATAGTAACCCGTATGATAACCACTCAAATACCAGGCCATTAACATGCTTGCTAGTGCATCATTGTCATGAGATATATCACTATTGTTGACTGGTGCAGGCGGAGGAGGCACAGGTGCATATTGGAACTACAATAGGTCAGGATAATACAATAACTGTTTAATTGCTTGGTTGTTTAAATGTACTACCAGTAAAGAGAGCAAAATTTTATTTATGGCAAAATTCTCATGGCAAATACAAGCTTACTGGCTGCAGTGAAATTCATGTGTTTTAATCTTCACATCAACTGGCAATTTTGGGTAATTTTGACATTGGCTATTTCTGAGTGCGAAAGGGTTAACAGGGGTGTTTGCTAATACAGAATTTTTTTACAAATAGTAATTATTCTGTACAAACCTATAAAAACTGCTAATTTGCCAAATACAAGGTGTCAGCTCAGGGGTCCACAAAAATACAGGTTATGCAATGTGTTCAACATTTAACCATGAGAATGCAAACCAAGACAAGCCCATGGCAAAATTATTACAGCATCATAGATCAGTTCATCCTCTGTCGATAAGGCAAAACACTCTTTTTCTAAAGAAAATTCAGAGCCCAAACAATTTTGAAAACTTAAATCTAAATACTATGTTGTTTAGGAACATTATGCTTACTGTATTTGAGGAAGGTGAAAGTCCTGATGGATTTAAAGTTGGCCAGTGATGAGGCAGGAGGTTTGGAGGCAGAGGTGGTGGAGGAGCAGGAGGAAAGAAGTTTGTCTGAGGGAGAAAAATTATACAATGAATGGTTAGTAACCAGACTTAATAATATAAATATGAATAATAATTCCTTTATTTACCCTCTGCAGTATTTATAGCAATTACGCTAGTGGGGCTGAGCAAATGACTGAAACAAATAGTTCAAATCAAACATAACAGGGATAAGAATCTCAACTGGCCCGAGGCAAACCAGCTGGCTATTTACAAGCGTGGTCGAGGATTTGAACTCAGGACTACTGTGAACATATCCAGCTAGCGGTCAGGGAAGAACTTGAACTCGGGGCCTTCGAATTGCAGATCCAGCACTCTAACCACTTGACCACTCTGCTTCCTTCTTGATACTAGATGACTATGTTGTACAGAGCATACCCGGCTGAGGAGCGGAGTCTGCTCTTGATTGCTTAGAGTTGCAAACACTTGAGGTAATAAATAGATAGCAAAAGTTTTAGCAGAATACAGCTTCACCTCTTCCTAAAACCAGGACAAGGCTATCAGAGGACAGGGGGGGGGGGGGGGGGGGGGCGTGGGAAAAAAGCGGCGGGGGGGTATGGGGAAAAGGGGGGGGAGGGGCGGGGGGGGGGGGGTGAAAGGGGGGGGAGGAGGGAAAGAAAGGGAAAAAAATTTTTATTGTAAAACAAGGCAAAATAAAAGTGGTTTACCATTCAAAAAAATGCATATTGGAACTACAATAGGTCAGGATAATACAATAACTGTTTAATTGCTTGGTTGTTTAAATGTACTACCAGTAAAGAGAGCAAAATTTTATTTATGGCAAATTTCTCATAGCAAAATACAAGCTTACTGGCTGCAGTGAAATTCATGTGTTTCAATCTTCACATCAACTGGCAATTTTAGATGTAATTTTGACACTGGCTATTTCTGAGTGCGAAAGGGTTAACAGGGGTGTTTGCTAATACAGAATTTTTTTACAAATAGTAATTATTCTGTACAAACCTATAAAAACTGCTAATTTGCCAAATACAAGGTGTCAGCTGAGGGGTCCACAAAAATACAGGTTTTGCAATATGGTGTTCAACATTTAACCATGAGAATGCAAACCAAGACAAGCCCATGGCAAAATTATTACAGCATCATAGATCAGTTCATCCTCTGTCGATTAGGCAAAACACTCTTTTTCTAAAGAAAATTCAGAGCCCAAACAATTTTGAAAACTTAAATCTAAATAATATGTTGTTTAGGAACATTATGCTTACTGTATTTGAGGAAGGTGAAAGTCCTGATGGATTTAAAGTTGGCCAGTGATGAGGCAGAAGGTTTGGAGGCAGAGGTGGTGGAGGAGCAGGAGGGAAGAAGTTTGTCTGAAGGAGCAAAATTATACAAACGAATGGTTAGTAACCAGACTTAATATTATAAATATGAATAATAATTCCTCTGTTTACCCTCTGCAGTATTTATAGCAGTTATGCTAGAGAGGCTGAGCAATTGATGGAAACAAATAGTCCAAATCAAACATAACAGGGATAAGAGTCTCAACTGGCTGAAGGCAAATTCAGCTGGCTATTTACAGGCGTGGTCGAGGATTTGAACTCGGGACTACCGTGAACAAATCCAGCTAGCGGTCAGGGAAGAACTTGAACTCGGGGCCTCCGAATTGCAGGTCCAGCGCTCTAACCGCTTGACCACTCTGCTTCCTCCTTGATATTAGATGACTATGTTGTACAGAGCATACCCGGCTGAGGAGCAGAGTTTGCTCTTGATTGCTTAGTGTTGCAAACACTTGAGGTAATAAATAGTTAGCAAAGGTTTTAGCAGAATACAGCTTCACCTCTTCCTAAAACCAGGACAAGGCTATCAGTTTACCCCCCTAAAATAGTGGGTGAGGACAGGGGGGCTGGGAGCCGTGGAGAACAGCAGCAGGAGGGCTATGGGAAGTTGGAGAGGAAAGGGAGGAGGTGGGAGTCTAAAAGAATGGGAAGCGGGAGAATTAAATAATTTTTATTATGCCAGAATACTAAATATGATGTGTTTTGCCACCAAAAAAGGTGGAAGAAGCCAAGATAAAAAGGGAAGAAGCCAGGGATGCAAGGTATGTGAGGCAGGAGGTTTAGACTCCCCGCCCCCACCTTCCCAAAAAATAATCCTTTAATCAACCAACTTGTTACCTAAACAGCCAATGTGACTAGACTTCAAGGTTAAAATTCACTTACTGAGATACTATGAGCATAATATTAAATTGGCTGATCAGTTATGATAAGCTTTACAAAGTGATCACATCACTTACAGAAGGGTTATAGTTTGAAGACAATGGATAACTAGAAAATGGAGATCCTGACATAGGGTATCTTTGTTCAGAGGTGTAAGGATGATGATGATGACGATGATGATTCCTCAGATGATGAGATGGCTGTGACGGCTTCAGTGTTGACACATCAACATCTTGTCTGAAAAAGTATGGCATAAAGCAATAAATAATTTAAATAGATAATCTTTATATAATTACCGGTACCCTTTACAGTAATTATCATAAAAATTATAAATAGGGCTGAGTAAATAACTGAAACAAATGATTCAATTAAAATTTTTAAAAAATCCTTACTGATAAGAGGCAAACTAGGCTGCGAATAGAGCTGTCTCTCCTTACTTCTCGGTACTAGAGACATTTTGTAGGACAGACATATATGCCTAAACAACAGAAGCTCCATACTAATGACATAAATCAAATGAATGTACTACATCGGCCAATCAGAGCTCCTGGCCAGATTTTACAACAGTAGGGAATTTCTATCGTAAAGAGGCAGACATCTCCTGTGAAATGTTCCTAGTGGTGAGGTGCAAGGAGAGACAGCTATATTCGCAGACTAGAGGCAAACTAGTTAGAATGGCTATTGTGACCTAGGAGTTGAACTCAGGACTATTGACACCAAGAAACAAATCTAGCTATTGGTCAGAAGGGGATTTGACCTCAGGGACTAACCTTGGATAGTAAGTCTAGTGCTCTAACCTCCCACAGCAACACTGATTCTTCATCCAGGAGCCAGTGCTTTTAACATTAACAATTACCCAGTAAAAAATAGGCAGCTACTAGTGCAGCTGAAGCTCTCCTTGCGACCGGCTCTAGTTATGACTACATTTTATGAATTAAAACCCCTTTTGATCTGTGACTTAAACTTTGTAATGAAAGCTCTCATAATGGACTGCGACCACTTTTGGGATTACCCAACTGGACTTTTCCATTGTTTTTAGGCTCTTGTAAGCGACCACTCAGTGACCACTCATAGTCTTATTCACATAAATCAACACTCTAATAAAACTGCACACTGCGCTAATGGTCTAAAAAATTGGATGTATAGTTTAGTTGTGTCTATATCAGATATAAAGACACTCATTAAAAACTAATTATTTTGTTTTTTCTTTATGAATTATTAACAAATTTCTGAAGCTCTTGAAAGCAACCACCCTCTATCGTATTACCATGCGGTCACTTACGAGAGCTCATTCTCGTAAGCAACCATCTCTATGACCACTTGTTTGAATTTCTGTGGCCATCGCTTACGAGAGCTTCAACTATTACAATCTGTTAGATTTAATAACAACATTAAAGCTTTACCGTTGTCTGGATCTGAGGAAAGTAACCTTGCAGGTGTATGGTGTAGAGAAAGAGTTGATTACAGCTTCATGAAGGTGCTGGCTGGGTTGTTCTGGAGCAAGACACAAGTCACTAATCTGCCATCTTATAGGTGACTGGCTGCCTGCTGTCCAATCCATTTCACTATCTGCATTCTGAAAGAATAACATATCATTAACTTTATTTATTAACACCTTTGTCCAAGACCTTCACCAAGAAACTGCTGGAATGATATCTTTTCCAGACAACAGCCAGCTGGATAAAATATAATGCTGGATGTGACTGCCATCAACTGACAACAAACTAGAGAGTTTTACTGGGCACTGAATGTTAGATATAAGGCTGTTTTGAACGATGTCCCATATTGGTATCATGAGACTAGAACCAGGCTTTTGTTGTTGTTGTTGCTGTTTATTTCTTTTATGACAGATTTCCCCTTTGATATCCACCCTACCCATGAACTAATACATTTCATTTGTAAATCAGAAAAAAATTTGTGACAAGGTGAAATGATAGGGAAATGCTAGTTACACCCAGTTTTTGCACTGTTTACTGGTGCGAACAAGGTATCTACAATAAAGCAAGAGAATGGGCAGCCTTAATGAACTTTTTCATGGGGGAAGGTCACATGTTTTAAAAAAGTATTAGGTTTTACTGTAGTTTAAAGTCTTGTAATGAATGGGTCTCAGATTATAGCCAGGTGTTTTCGATTTGTTTTTCATTCTTGGTTATGCTGATTCTAGTGACTACACATTCAAAGTTTAGGGTCTCAGTTTATGGCTGAATAAAAAAATACGGTAATAAGCCTGTTCACAAGATACCCAATAATTTTAACACTGTCTTGTCTTCTTGTCAGAAGAAACTGGACAAATTTTAGAACAAGTTGTCATGGAGGTAACACTTGGCTTTGGGCCAGTAACCTTGACACTAAAGATTGACAGTCTAACCGCTGGATAACGGGTCATAATGACGCGTTATGTTATAAAAAGTTACTTGACTTTTCTTCCAAATGCAATGTTACATAAAAATTAATTATTATTATTACCTGTTGTCCTGGGGATGTCGGCCAGGCAGGTTGACTACTAGAGTGTTTTGGAGGCTTTCTGTTCTTCTTAGATATGGGTAGTAGTAAATCATCTAAGTACTGTTCTTCTGTATTACCATACCCACAAAATTTTACCACACAAGTTTTGGAATTGGCATCAATTGAAATTATTACAGCATCATAGATTAGTTCATCCTCTGAGAAAACAGCTCGGCAACTATCACCAACATGCCACTGAAAATATAATTGATTTTTAATAGTGAATAAAGAATGTCTTAGTTGCTGATAAAAGCATTTTTATATTTGTGAGGCTCTCTACAAGGGGTCAGGGGCATATATCCCTACCTTAAATTTTGTTTTACGCATTGAGGAGGAGGCTATATCCCTCTCAGCATTTTAGTACTGGTATTGAACGCTGTATTTGGGATTGTCCTCGTCACCATCAGAGTTTCAATCCACTTAATTATGTTGTTTGTCAGCATTTCATCACTCTTTAATTTATAAGTCTGTTTCAGGGCCACATTGCTTGTCAGAATTTTACTTTAACAAGGCCTCACTTGTGACTATGCTAATTACTTTGTATTTACTCAACCACTACTCAGGGTCCTCTTACCAGAAAATTTAAAACAGAGACAAAAAAAAATAAGTAGGTGACAAATTATCTCCCCCTCCCCTTCCTCTTTTTCCACCAGCCACACAGGTTAACAATATAATTATTATTAGAAAAGAGTTGTCTGATGAAGAAAATCTCAAAAAAGACTGGGCGTTATTATGCCAGACAAAATTGCATCTCAGCCCACATATCTTCTGAAAGTACTGGTAACAAAATAAAAACAAGAAAGGAGGGATTCTACTTCACAACAATACTAATTGAAATTTGAATGGTCGCACGCATTTCCTCTTCAAGACGTGTTGGCATGCAAGTACAAGTAACAGATTATTTTAACATTCAAGAAGTACAAGCAGCATTAAAAATTATTCTTTGTTTCCTTTCCCTGGCTGAGAGTAATAATCTGTTGAGCTGGACATTTGAATTTTTAAATATTTTAAAATGAAACAGTACTGTCTTTTGCCGCTGAGAAACAAAAGTGTTACCTGTTCTGCAGCCTTCTTTTTATTGTCCTTCTTTTTTGAAGCTTGGTTTTTCCTTTTAAAAATAATAATTCATCAATCAACATAAATCTCAACAGTGTTTCACCTTCAAGACAACCAAAAAAGTTTTGAAAACAATCGTTTTTACAAAATAAATGGAGGGCTATTATAACAACTGACACACACTTTTGGTTTGCTTCATACCTGTGTTTTCCATTGCCCTTACTCTTTGAACCACCATTCTTTCCTCCTTTCTGTTCATTTTCATGGCAAAACAAACAAAAATACTGAATACCATTGTAACTTTTAAAATTTACTCTGACTCCTTCTGAATAACTCTTCTTTTAAAGAATTACTTTAGAATTAGTGCAACTTAAGATAATATTACAAGAATAACTTGAAAAATGAACATGTAGAAATCTCAAAACTTGACAGCATTATTTTACTGACAATGACATCATCACATTAGTATGGAAACTTAGGTCAGAAAAAATTGCTTTTTTCAGAAACTTCAATCTGCACCAGACAAAAATGGTATAGTTCAACTGATTTCCTATGTTTTTGTTTTTGTTTTTTAATGAATAATATTTTGTGTTTATAATGGGAACTGGCCGCAGTAAAGCCAAAGCTACCTTAAGGAGAATCCCAATGGGAAGCAGTAACACTCCAAGTGAAAATTTTAGATTAATTTTACAAAATTAATAAAAGCAACTGAGTCTTTAACTACCATACCTTTATAGCACTTATTGCTCGATCGTACGCTTCTATTAAGGCAGTATCATCCCAGATATCTGACTCATTGCCATCCTTAAAAAAATAATTTCAGATGTGTTACTCAATAAAATCAATTTACATATTATATTATTATTGCATTAGTTAAACATAGTGACCTATAGCATGCCAGTGCAAACACAAAGAATCCAAATTCAGGGACTTAAGGTTATTTATTTATTTATTTTTTTTGAGGGACAGGGGATGGGGAATTTTAACCCTAGCCTTAACTTCTTGTGATCTATCTTGCTGCCAGCAAAAGGTGTGATAAATCATCGTGTAGGACAACATGACGAGTCGGGAAAGGATTATACAAGCTTTCCTCTTTCTGCAGACTCGGCTCTCCAAGAGTATTTAGAAAAGCTACATTGGTAGTTAAAAGATAGTATAGTTACTGTTCAAATTTTCAATTTAAAAAATTTAAAAGCACAGGGGGGTTTTGATCCCTGGGAGGGGAAGTTGAAGCTTCAATTTGCAGTGATAAATTCATGCTTCCAAAGCAAAACTCAGTGACAGATGTTTGTGTTGGCTTCCAGCTGCCATATTGGTCCATACTGGTGACCCTGAGAGGGACAACAAAATGGCAACTCCAAACAAAACTCTATAAATTTGGGTAAAACATTTTTCCAGTTAATTTGCATATAAAAAAAACATAGGCTTAAACCCTGTCTAGGCTGCTGTTTGCATATTTATCTTCATTTTCATTCTGGATTTATTTATTGAAGAATTTCGATTTTTTTAATTTTTATTTTTGATGACTTGACGGAGAAAACCTGAGCAATAGAATCTTAGCATAAGTTTACATCTTTCCCTTGACTTGATATAAAATAAAACGCGACGATGGGAGTTTTTAATGGTTAAATAGCGGTCACCAGCAAGGCAAAGCAATTCAGTGCTACATGACAGGTGACACTTCAAAGCAAAGTAAGAGATAAATAACATTAAATTAATAACCGCTAAAACTCAAGAACCACCAGGGGATGAAAAGATTTATAAGAACAGACGGCGGACTATGGCTAAATGAAAAGTTACGTCTTGACAAGAGCACAGTGTGCCCAAAGTTTATACCCTCAAAATAAATTTGATAAACGAATATAAAGAAGCGACACAAAATACAAACATAACTGTTGAGATATTTCTAAAATCTGTTATCTCATACCTCGCCAGCCTTGAAAACAACTTCTCCACATTTCGCCGCCATATTGTTTTGGCTGCACAGATACCAGGCTTCTCGCAACTTCACTAATCGTGAAAACTATAAAAGAAACTGGCACTACTTTGTTGTATTCCCTATCTCTTGGCCGACTTTTTGCTATTTGATTGAAGACCTATTTTTTTTTATAGCTTTCTCATAAATTATGCACGTGAATATGATGAAATTTGAAAGAAACATATGACCTGCATTGGGAAAACAAAGCAAGTCCTGGTCATGAGGATGGTGTGTCGACTGTGTCCAAAAGTATTTTGCATGATTAAAAAAAACCTGAATGGAAAAGTAGACCTTTGTTAGCAAGCTGTCTATGGTTGCTTCCCTGCTCTGTGGAAGTCAGAACAAAACTAGTGGTGGCCAGGGGGAGGCTGACTCCCTACATGTATATGGGGCCGGCTCCGCCCAAAAGGGGTACCTTTTTAAGTGTCATGTGTATCAGCGTGTATAAAAGGGAAAGGATTACACTAAGGAAATCTGTCTTTGTAGTCTGTAAAAGGACCTAAAAGATGCCCTTCCCTGGGTTACCGAGTCATTCAGACAGGATATTGGCCAGATTTCAAATTGGAAAGTGATTTTTATTATTAAAAATATACTTATTATGAAAAATATGACAAATTTCCGTAAAACAGTGGAAACCGGTGTGGATCCACGCCTGGCCTGCAGACATCTCCTATTCTCTTTGTTGGACACTTTTAAACATGCAACAAAGGAAATAGCAGACATCTGTATGCAGGCTATAAAAAAGTCAAGATAACTTCCTAGTTTTCAGTAATTTATTTATATTTAAAAGATGTGTATGGTGCATTTTCAGCAGTTAAAAGGGCTGCAGAGTTCTAAACTAAGTATGTGAAAGGGGCAAATAATGGTCAAACCGCAATTTTTTTGTGATAAGTGTTATGCGGCATACCTCCCCCCAACTCCCTCATCCTCCTTGGTGGACCCTGGCTGAAAATCAGGGAGTAACTGCGTATTTTTCAGAGAGATTCAAATGAACTCCTGTAGACACAGAAAAGAGAATAATAATGAAAAAAGTATTTTTGTGGTTCTCCTACAGTAATAGATGATAACCCTCAAGTAAGCAGGCAGACCTCAATGCAGTAGAGTAATATGCACTTGTTTTATACCACCACTTCTGAAAAATGAGATAAATGGGAGAAATGGTAGGATCTCAGCGGTTTTAGAGGACTTTTATAAAACCCAGGCCCTAGTTGTTCAAAAGTTGGATAGTGCTATCCACCGGATAAATCACTCTCTAGAGGGAACCAGTTGCGCTATCAGTTGGATAGTGATTTATCCCGTGGATAGCGCTTTCTACCTTTCGAACAACTGGGGCCTGGTCAATAACTAGTCTGAAATGTCATACGTCTCCACCCCTAACTCTCCCCTGCACCCCCCACGGGTTAGGGGGTGGAGACGTATGACATTTCAGACTAGACAATAGTAATCTTTTTTTGAGACATGATAGATAAATATTCAGTTATGAGTAGAAATACTGTACTAAAATTCTTAAACACCCCAGAAGTTACCCCATGCACCCCTTCCCCCTCCTTCCCCAACGGGAAAATGTCTGTCCTTATAATCTAGGTTATCATGCTGTCCAGTATTAGGATGTATTTGAATGAATCTGACACCAGAAATCAACATTATGCTAAAAATGGAATTGTTTTATTTCTTTGCTGTAGGGTCCTAAAGTTTGAAATTAAGGGATTTTGGGGGGTATTATGAAAAAAACAACATCCAAGAGGCCTACTTGCCAAAAATTAGCAAATTGGCTTTGAGATATTAGCCCAGTTATGTTCGGATGACTCCACACAAATCCATCTAAATTTGACTCAGTTCATAACCTTATGAACCGAGTCAAATTTAGAAGGATTTTTATGGAGTCATCAGAGCAAAACGGGACTAGGAGACAATTTGCCCCACAATGCTAGTTTTTAGCAAGTAGGCCTTTCAGATGTTGTTCTTTCAAAATATCCCAACAAATCCCATAATTTCCAAAATGCAGTTTTCACGACATCATCACTTTAGAACTCTATTGACTTTTAAATTAATCTAGATATAATTTTGATTTAATGAGACATAGTACACAAACAACATTGTATACCTATCTAAAGTATATAAGTATTGCTAGAGTATATTGATCAATGTGTAAATATAAATAGTTTTTGTGGCAAATTTATGTGGTTAATCTATCTTTGAGCAAAGGTTTATACAGTCCAACCTCTATGCACGATCGCCACTCGTAAGTGACCACCTCCCATAAGCAACCACTTATCAAAAAGACCAAAATTTTCCCAGTGAAACCCTACACTCCCGGGAGGGGGGGGGTGGTGACCAGCTGCTCGTCAACGAAACCCGGGGGGAGGTACTGCCTTATAAGAGGCTAATGGGGATGTGCCGCTGGATGGGGTTGCATTTTCATGACGGGATTGACTTTAATGGGGTTTCATTCTCAATAGAGTTACTAGAATGGGGTGTTCTTGATTCAATCTAAAAAATGGGTCAATTCATTCAAATAGAAAGTGACTAAGTTGGGATCGCAAAAATTACACATTTGCCCAAAAGTGACTAAGATGGGGTCTATGACTGACCACAGAATTGATTATAATGGGTTAGGGGCTCTGAGAGGCCAGCAGCACAAAACCAGCAAAAATTAACCCAAGTACGCACCCCCTCCCCCACCCCTCTTTGACTGAGTCTTAGGAGTCTATATTTCACTACAATGGGTAAAGTCCAAATATTTCTATGTAACTCCTTTTAACTATTAACTCTTAGAGAATACTGTGAACTAGGTTAGATTCATTCGTTTGACTAGCTGAGTTCCTTAACCATTGCTAAGATGATAAGTCGCAGTGTCTCTGTCAACTCTTCAACACTGTACGGTGAATCCACTCGTGGAACATGAACAAAAGCACAAGTTCCTTTTCCTAGATGCAGTGACTTGTAGTATATATAATCACATAAAAACCTGTGATACAACAAAAAATGCAAAGTTTACCAGTAAACATCAAGTAACCAATATTTCTAAGATGTCTAATAAATTAAAGGTTTGAAAGCAAAATAAGGTTATAGAGCTACAGTGTGCTGTAACAGGACCTGGAAGCCACTGGAGTCTTCATTTTGCTCTTGAACGAACAAGGAAATATTACTTTGTTTTCATAGATTTCACGGGTTCCAAGGATTTAGCTCCCTTCAATTTGTCTTAAAGCACAGCCTTGGGTTTAAAGTCATGCAATGAAATGCTAAAGCTTCAAATTAATGAGTAGGAAAATGCGAGTCGATGGCAGGTAGGAAAAGCTGGGCAATGAAGTTCACAGAGGAGGCCCCCTGCCTAGCATATGACTTACAGTCAAACCAGGAAAACCGTGTTCATGATCACCAATCGGGCATGAGAAACTAAACCAAAAGGAGGAACATTAATTACTTTGTCGTTTTGTAGCTTTTAGTGCTCATGTCCTAATATTTGTTGCGATTGGTCATAACACAATATAAACATTCCTGAAATATTTCAAGTGTTCACGGTTTTGCCGGTTTGACTGTAAAAAAATTCAAAGAAGGAATTTATGAAATGATTTATGAACCTTCAAAATGTTTGGAATATATAATGTGAATATCAATAAAAGAACTTAAAGAGTTAGAATATCCACCTTCCGGCGTCATCTGAGAGTCCTACAAGACAAGGGCTTTTGGCAGTCATCACTTCAGAACAAATCTTATCCAGGTTTAAAGAAGTAGACAGGCACTCAGGTCCACCTAAAAACAAACAAATAAAACCAGGAATGACCTATTGGTCACTATGTATAAAACCAGGAGCCCATAACCTGAAGTGTGTAATGTAATAGTATTTTCACAGACAAGTTTATTTTTAGCCTCACTTTGAAGTAATTTTTCAGCAAAAATGGAAGCACCACTTTGTATGTGTGTGCACATCCATAGTCTGATGTATGAAAAAAAGAAAAGCAAAAGTTATCAAACATCAGAAATACTTTTTTCTGGTATTCAGATTTTGATTTCATGTAAAAATACACTTGTCCATGAAAACAGTGTTGCATGGCTATGGGCACAAAGGAGTTACTCACTCTGGGTAAAGGGCTCCTGATTAAACACAATTTCATTTTGAGAAGCTCTCTAAAACTTAGAACCATCACTCTTAACATCGCTTACCTATGTTCTTAACAAAAAATAACCACAGTACACCCACTCTTACCACAGCATACCCACTGCTACCACCACCTATCCATTGCATGATCTTAACAATCTACAATGAGCCATTACTGATACACCTCAAATCACCTTCAACACAGCAGCCTTGGTGACATTTCTGACCACCTTCGTCAGGCCTGTTGTATCCATCATTGTGGGCACACATCTCTAACTGCACACAGTCTGCTAGACCATGGACGCCAACATGTACACACAACTAGAAAAAAAATACATTTAAAAAAATACAACAAAGAGGATAAATCACATCAGCCATGGAACAGAAGTGCTTCTAGTTGCAAGAAACTGTTATTAACTTTTTCTTTTGAACGGCCTTACAAGAATTAGCCATGATATTAGGTGGACTAAAATACCACAGGACTGTGCTTAAAGAAAGTATCAGTATACACTGTACACCAAAGGAATCTTCCTGGTCACCCAAAGGGAAATATAGTTCACTGGGTGTCACAGGGCTTTGCTAGATCACAAACTTGCTTGTGGAAGCACATGTAGTGAGATAGGAGGGTGTAAGAATGGAAACAAGCGACCAAATTTGGGGCTGAGCAAAACAACACTAGTTTAGCCTCCTACAAAGCTTACTGGTTGCTTTGTTCATAGAATTATGGCTAGGAGTCAGATCCGTATGCAAAAAGAAGCCGGGACATTCAGCACTATGTAATCTGTAGTTTTATCCTTTACATTCACTGATACCTCAACCTGGGGATTGACATCTAAATGTCCTTTTTGTGTGTAGCAAAGGGATTATAGAAGACATTAGCACACAGGCAAGAAACCCATCTAAGGCACCCTTCCTATGCAAAGAGTAAAGTTTATCACCTTCGGTTTGATTTCATTCCACAAGGCAGGAACTTCTTTGTCTACTGCTGCGTACTCCACAGGAATTTCCCTTACTTCTAAATTCACTTTCTGGGAAAGGTCAGTCCCTGGAAGTTCCTATAAATAAAATAAACTTATTTCACTTATTTTATAAGTTACACAGTATTATTATTAATGGCCAGATCCTAATATCTGCCTTTGTATTGCTGAAGCGAGTTGGATGGGAGATAGGGGTGGGGGAGGGAGGGGGAGAGGGTAAGAGAACTAACTACAATACTCGTCACAAATCGTTGAAACAGACACCGCTTCTCTTGAATTTTCTAGAAAATTCTTGAGATTTACTCCTCACACTTTTGTTCTCACTGTAATCAGTGTCCTCACCCTCCCAATCTTGAGCCATGTGTATTTTGAAGCACTGAGACCACTATAATACTCAAATCAACATTTGGAAAGGGGAAACGCACACAAGTGTTCCAAGATTTTTGGATAATTTGTAGGTACACAACTGGTGCTGTAAGATTTGAGCTAATCTTTGCATCTGGTTTCTGTCCCTTAACTCCAGATCTTTCCTTGGCAGTTTGTTCTTCTCTGAATTTTAGCATACCTGAACAGCAAGCCAACTGGTGTTTACTTCATGTGTGCCAAAGGGACCAAATCCTAAGAAACACCAAAAGACTGATCAGCAAAAATTATTAATGATTGACAAACTCATTGTGATGAGTCAAAGGGAGCACCTACTCTCTTTTCAAGTTAGTTTCAAATGGCACTTTTGCAAGCAAAAACATTCGTGCACCTGAAGAAAATGCCTGCACTGCAGGCTAGTTTTGATTTTTAAATCTGACTTTGAGCATGAAAAGTTTCCAAGCCTTTCGAGAAATGGGCCCCTAATTCTTAGCGAGGCTTTTTGTATATTAATTTTTATCCTTTCATTTCCCAGATTCTGGACTTTCTGTATTTCTGTATTTTGTATTTTTATTTTTGATGGCGTGACGGTGAAAACAGAGAATTGGGGAGTAGCAGCCACCCCCACCCCCCTGCCAACAAACTCGGCCTTCCCTACACCGTGGCAGCTGCAGGGGAGAAGACATGAGATGAGGAAGGTTAACTAACCAAACCAGGAACCCAAACTCAGTCCACATAATAAAATGATGCGTTTTTAAAGCTGTAAGAGGAAATATACACTGTAGCATCCTAGGCAAATATTCTGACCCTCTAACAGACTGTCTCCATGGGTTCCTCCTTTATCGTGCATATATACTGACAAGAAAATTACGATTGCTTTAAGTGTACTTATACCGCTAAAGTTATCTGAGGCAACACTTAAAGCTAAATTCTTCACAAAAGAACAATGTATCAAAGATTTCTCACCCGTGACAAGAACAGTAGGTTTGTTCTCTGAAGCCATGACTGCTAGCTTTCATCATCCTCTCAACTGACAGGGCAGATAGGGTACTGGGCACGAGAACCGAAGCTCTTGGGTTTAGTCCTCTCGCGGTCCTTTTCCAACATGGCGGGTCGTGGCAGAGGAAGAGGGAAAGGAAGAGGATTATCGTTTGATGTGGGAATGATTGGTTTTGGGCGTGGAGAAGCGTTACCTACCGCAATACTTCAACCTCCTCCACTTTTTCCAGTAAGTGAATTTCTCCTTGCTTGAAATGTGTGAATACAGAGGTATTGCTGCTAGGCAATTCTGCAGGGACGACTTTATTCACTTTATTAAAGAACGGGTCATATCACAATAGATCACATAGATGCTTTTGTTGTTTATTGAGATTGAAGTAGGTCGCATTGCATTCTATAGATTTCTCCCAAATTTATTCTCTTATTTTACCATACCAGCCACTTGATGTGAAGCCATTGCCACTCAGGCAGACAGATGCTGATGAATACATGCTGGCTCTGAAGCAGGAGTTGAGAGGATGCATGCGAGAGCTTCCTTACTTCATCAAGACCTCGGTCAAAACAAAGGGTGAGTAAAATTCAATATTTTCAATCAATATATGGCAAGATGAATCTGCATTCTGATTGGCTACCCAAGCAGGCACACTTGGAATACCAAGTTGGTCTTAAAAGAAAAAGTTCTCTTTCTGGCCGTATAATAAATCCTTTATTGAGTAAGCTTAATTGGTCAAGATGGTTGGATATTGGCCTTGTTCTGTTTTTGCATTTTTATTGACCTCTCCGAGTAAAAACACAAAAAAGAAATTGACCAATATCCCTCCCACTTTTCTTTCTAGCAGTCTTTGCTTGCCTTTTGGGTGCCTTACCCAAGTTATTGGCTGCATTGCCTGTGCAGGCTGGGGTGCCACAATAAGTGAAGCCTGAGTTTGAATGCAATGACCTCTGACTAATGCATCAGTCAATTCCAGCTGTGCCCATATATTATTATTATTATTATTATTATTATTATTATTATTATTATTATTATTATTATTATTATTATTATTATTATTATTATAGGAGGGTTCTCCAGATTTCAAGTGACAGAGATGATCAAGGGATTTTTTTGGGGGGGAGGGGGGGGGCAGGGGTGAGAAATTTTCAGTTCCAGGATTTTTGGGGGATTAGAAATTTGGCAAGTACTTTGTGGGTGGTTTGATTTAAGTAAGGATTTTTTGGGGTATTCAAAACAATCTGAAGATTTGTAGTATTGCCCACCTTTCCCGGCCTGTTTTAATATTTTTTGCTTCATATTGCATGTGTTTCATAGAACCAGCTAATAAGGCTTGGAAATTCAGCATGGGAATTTTGGGGGGTTAATTTTTGGTCTAGGGACTTTTTTGGTTTTGTTGGGATTTTTTTAGGCTTTGTGTTTTTGCCTATCCTCCCTGCAGACGTCCCCTGGGGTTCGTTTGTTACGCATTCATTTCTCCCCCACAGAGAGAAATGAATGTGTGACGAACGAACCCCAAAGAACATCTGCAGGGAGGCTATTTTTTGCCCCCTTTGATCATCCCTGTCACTTGAAATCCAGAGTACTCCACTGGGCCTTAACCGCTTTGTTCCACAGTTTTGTATTCACCTCTTAAAGAGACCTTCATATTATCTGTAGTACTTAATTCTTTACCAACATTTTTACATGGTAGATATTGAGAGGTTCTCTGATAGATACAGAGAGAAGCAGACAGACAAAGGCTTAGATTGGCAGCCAGGTAACATCTCAGTTTTATTAATTTATTATATTATTTATCTGACCTTAAAAGGTGTTGCTCAACAGAACATGTTTTAAAGACTAATCCATCTCTCAGAAAAAAAATCTCTCATCCTTAACACACCTAATCAGAAATTTTCTTGCATTTACAAACAAAATGCAAATGAACAACGTAAACTCCCTGATAACGTTATCTTGCAGACTGGAAGTTATTTCCCAGCGAGCTTAAGATTAAAGTGAGAAAACACCGCCTTAACAAGAGCGCAAGTAAGTACTTAGAAAGAACATACCGTATTTACAGGACTGATTTTAAAAGTGCTGTGATTTTTCTTTGCTTAACAAGTTCATCGTAAAATTTGTGATTCATGCAGGCAAAGATTTCTATTGATGTTCTTTTAGGACCAAGGATTCCAAGGCTGGAAGGGAAGAATAAGAGAACATCTGATGCAGAAGCCTTGAAGCAACTTGATGTAAGCTATTATACAGTCATTAACTGATTTAGCATTCCATTCCAGGAAATTAAAGATACACATGTAGGATTCTGACCCTACTGTATATGATATAGATGGCACTGGATTTGAAGATTATCAAATGGGTTCATTGAGGTACCCAGTCTCCTATGAAGAATTATCCAGTTTTAGTATAGAATGACTAAATTTAGTCATTTAATACTAAAATGGGTGAAAAAGATGTGAAGAAATGGTTTTTAGCATTTTTGATAAACAGACTATAATAATATTCAACCTTTATAAAACTACCATTTTACGTTGAAGAATATTATTGCAAACATGCATTAATCTTAGGTTTTCCTTCAGTCATATCAATTACACCCAGCTAATTTTGAAATGCAAAATAATAAGCCCCTCAGTGGATGTGCCCCCTCCAAAATATTATTAGCTCGTCCAAAATTTCTTTTAAAATAAGTCCTAAAGTTCTTCTGTTGGAATTTTATCTTGAGTTGGTATCCACAGAGAACCTAGTCACCTATTAGACTCAAGGATTTCGGTTACAAAGCAAAGGAAACTGATAAAAATGCTATATAAGTATATGTGTTACTTTTAATTCCAGGAAATGGTTAAGAAGGAGGTGGAAGAAGATCAGTCCGAAGGTAAAAAGGAAGAAGAAGCTGAGGACGAGAGTGGCGATGAAGAGCTTGAATATGATGAAGAAGAACAGGAAGAGGTAAATACAATTATTGTAAATATTTGGTTTGATTAACTGAATGAAACCACAATTTGCCAATGCAGACTCCAAAATAACGGCCAGTCAACAGACAATTTCTGGCCATGATAAACACTTGTCCGGACAAACTTTCGGTTTGCTGGTCATTTTGACCAGACACGTAAAAAAGCGACTAGAAAAAAAATACATTTTCACACCATCACATTTCAAGAGGACAAGCATCTTTTTGCTCTTAATGTTTTTGTTTGTTGGGCTAGTACATTCAAGTTATTACCCTTTTATTTATAACATTTTGAGTGGTCAGAAGAGAGACGTGACCCAGCTAAAATTTCTGTGGCCAGTCAACATGACCGGCAACAGTCCCAAATTTATTTTGAGCCCTTCAATGCATAGCCTCCTTTGCAGACATTCTAATGCCTAATGCATGACGAACCCCTAAGAAGGTCTGCGTGGAGGGCTATTCAATGCAAACATCAGCAAAGGAAATAAAGAAATTTATTTTAAACCAAGTACTCTTCGTTTTCTTTGATACTGTATTTTGTTAATCACAGTCCGACTGCATCCCATTCAGAAAGGTTCTCATAAAAGGGGTGCATAAGGTAAGGCCATAAGTCACTGATCTCACAGCAAATTCTCCCAACAAATTTATAAGCAAACATTAGGATATTTTACTAAAGAATCTAGCAGGTTACCAGGCTGTCATAACTGTATTTAATTGACAGTATGGTTTACCTTGACAGGAAAATGACTACTTGGTTTCCCATTTTGATGATGACGAAGATGCATTCATGGATGATGATGACATGGATGAAGGGCCTATATACTGATGAACCGTGGTGGCATTTTGAAGTCTAAGGAGCACTGTGAACAGACAGCAGGTGCAAGCCAGGTATCATAGGAATGATTGGCAGTCAGGATCACAATATTTATTGACAATCCAACAGTCACTGACAACATCAGTCTGTCTGAAGTCAGTTAGTACCAGTAGGCTCCATTAGAGCCACAGCTCTAGTTCAGAAACAGTTCCTTTCTCTTTCAAAGGGATAGCTACATGTATTTGGTGGTATGAGCTTAGCTTATTTCCTAACAAGAGTCCTGAGCACCTTGCCGTTCAGGGAACACCCACTTCCCTGCAGTGCAAAAAATTAATGTCTTTGTCTTTGAAAGAAAACAGATCCAGATCATTAGTGTGGGGAGCTTGTCCACAAGGTTTTAGTTTAACAAGCTGAAGTGCTCCTTTGTCCGACTGGAAGTAATGTCAGAACAGTGACCAAAGAACAGCTTCTTGTTTTTGCATGCTGTTGAAAAGTCATTCCATGAACTTTAAACTATCATGGACAAATTTTCAGCTTTATTCTTCTCCTAATAATAATATTATTTGATAACTTCAGTTGTATTTCATGCATGCTGGTCAGTGAGCTATTTGGTTAAGTTTTGTTTAAGAGTATAACTTGGAGATACTCTATGAAATCTCCTTATGGTGACTAATTTACTTACGGGGGGAGGATGCTTTCCTCAAAAGTCAGAACTTTCCAGCCAGATCTTGGCGGAACCATTCATTTTGACAAAACAATAAGCATTTTCTAAGAGTAAGTTTTCGCTGAAAAGCCATCACCTTCTTGCATGCTATTAAGGATTTGACTGAAGTGGCTGGATAATTTTGATTAGAAGTGAAATTTTCATTATGACTGGAATGGTCTGGCCAGGCAGTTCTGAAAAATGGAAAGTGCCCTGAGTTTATAACTCAAGGCAGTTTACAGTCAACTTTCTCTTAACGAAATAATACCTCTATAAGACAGACATCTCCTTAAAATGGACAAACAACACACCCTAAATATCACGGTCCCTGCTGTTCTTAAATCATTTTCTTTGACTCTTTATAGGAAAGACATGTACACCTATTACAATTATTAATACTAAGGCTGCACTCTTATAAAAATTGAAGGGTGCCAGTGCTCTGAACCTGTGAAAGCCGAGGTCACCAACATAATTATGATTTCTATGGAAAATCTACGATTTTCTAGTCACCCTGGCCAAGAGCAAAAGTTAGGCAGCAGGGACCACTGGGCCCTGCTAGAGTACAATCTTGAGAACTGTTCTAAGTGGTGTCTGTTTTTAACCTGTGTTGATTTCACTGTAGTGTAAAGGCCAGTTTATCTTGACCTAACTATAACGTCATTTCAGTCTAGAAAACATTGGGAACCAGTAGTTTCAATGGCCTGCTTCTGGGTGTGTTAACAGGCCTCTATTCTGCACCTTCATCAGCATGACTATTCAGGACTATGGCATATAAGAGTTAAAAACCTTTGCGTAACACTGCTGTTGGTAGACGCTGCTGGATGGGTAAATTACTGCTTTGTTGACAATGTAGAGAGTATCAATTTCTACATTTGTTCTTAGATTGTTCTGATTCCACCAAGTTCCAATTTGTGTTTTCCCACTTGTTCCTTTGAAGTTGTTTTGAGGCTTGTCCTCTTTATCTATATTGCCATCAATAATTATTTTCCTGTTACATGTACAAAGAAAAAGATGAATCACATGAATATGGTGCTCAACAAAGGTCATACTGATGAAGCAATACTTAATATGCATTATTGACCAAGTTTAAGGTCAGGATGGCTGGATATAATTTGGCTATTGCTTTTGGCATATTTGTGGACCAACATTAAGTCGAGGTCAAGAAAAAATTTTAAAAAAGAATGAGGCCGATATTCTAGATGTCTTGACTGACCAACCTTGGTCAATCAAGGATTTGTTAATGTGGTTCGGAGAGGTTCATTCCTGCAGAACAAATGTGGGAAATTCCAAGTGAGCCATCCAGGGTTGTCAAACAGTGCTGGTGACCACGGATATTGCCAGCTACTTCCATTCACCAGCTAATTAAAACGAAATAGAGGGAATATATCAAAGTGTCACCATTTCCCAGCACTGTCTTCTTTCAAACTTTGTCCTTGAAATTTTTTTTGACAACCCTGCCTATCAAAAACAAAAGATTCACTTAATCTTTTCCCCTGGCAGAAGCAGCCATGCAATAATTTATTATAAAATATAATTTAACAAATTAATTGGTAATGTTTCTTGGAACAATATTATTACCCTAACATTTAGATTCAGACTTGTGACCATCTACTGCTCTTACCGAGGATTCGCAAGGTCATTTTTGTTCCAAGTCCAAGTAACATGATACCACTGATTGTAATTTATTGTGGTCACTCCTGTAACATCATTGGAATAGAAACCAAACAACAATTTCTAAAGAGAGAGAGAAATATTGAAAAGGCATCAAAGGTTTTGTTGCACACAGTTTGTCATGGTTAGAGGTGCTGTACGTATTGTGTCCTATCTCTTCGCATATCATGAAGTACCTGTTTAATTAAACCAAGATGAAATCCTTTATCTTTGAGAGGTTCTCCATCACCTAAAACAGGTATCTCTTTACTGCTGCCCAATATGCCATCATCATGAAATCTCATTAAGCCCATGACAGACCATTCATCATAAGTCCAGAAATCTGCTGGTATACCATGTAAATTGATGTACTCCTGACCTTTCAGCTGGACTGCTTTCCCCATTAAACTTTCAACATACTGAGTGGTGTTTCGCCCTCCCTTTTGTTGGTACTCTAAATCAGAATAAAGCAAAAAATTGTTCCATTTTCATTAGCACTGGTTCATCTGTGCAAGGGGAGTGTTGGTGAGTCAGACAACTGACAACCATCACTGATATTTTGACAACTTAAAAACCCTGGTGGAAGGGAGCATTTATACTTAAACAGAATCCTTGGAAATGTAGTGTTTTAGTGGCATACATGTGAACATTGTGGGAGGGTCTATCGAGGAGAAGGAATTCCTTGGGTACCTCGATCTTCACCCATCCTCTTGCCACGAGTATCTTTTCACCTTAGATACAAACTTTCATCAGAGGTGACCTTTCCCTTGTCAAAATCCTACAACTGCTCCAGAAAAGCAGGTGGTAAAAATTTAGTTTTCTGTCCAATCCAGTTGATGGTCAGAGAAGTCACCTGTTACACCTCGGGGTACATAACGAACAAATACTTGTGCTTTTAGAAAAATTATTTTAAATAGCATACATGTAACTCTCAACTTATGTTGACTTACAACAAGTTCTGCTACCTGTTGTTATGTTTGTGATATTCATATTAGGACCAAAATTGACATTCAAATTGCCATTAAACTGGAATAAAACGGCCAAGGTTGCAGTTTGAAAGGCTTCATGGTTCATCTTTGGGATGTTCGTTTGGCATAGACTGTCTTGAAATGCCAGTTTCTGCCAACCCATTTCTGTACAGACCTACAGGTGCATGAAGGAAAAAAAAAACAAGAATTTATGTGTTAAAAGAGTCGTGCAGTGCTCACAGTATAAATTTTTCCAGATTAATATCCAGTATATGATAGAACTTAACTCAGAAAAACTACATTTGATTTCTACACAGGTGGATCATTTTTTGAAACTAACTGAGGATTGAATCAAAGTCAATAAAAATTATTATCTTGAGTAGGCCACAGACTTATAGTAATGCCATTTTAAACATGTTTACTGAGGTTTAATAATCATGAAGCTGATAAACCTTGGGCCCTTACATTCTAAAACAAATTGGCCTTTAGATGTTAGTCTCACAGAAACGAGAACCAGATGACAAGCCAAGAAGAAACTCTAAACAGATCAGCCTGCTAATTAAACAGTGACTTCTCATTACTCCCTGCCACTGGGAACATTTCCCAGTGCTACTTGATAGAACTATCATTGCTCCGATCCCTCAGGGATTACCTGAAGAAATCCAGACATGAACCTGACTGAGCCATAATCACTAGCATTACCACATCTAAAAGAAAATGTTACAAGACAAGTTCTTTGGGTTAACTTGTGTTAATATAAGTGCTTTCAGTCCATGCTGATCCCTACAATATTTAGCCATGCACCTGTGAAATGAATGAGTACCAGGTCATTTTAATTATTGCTTATAATACTGATGATCATACCTCTCATTGCCAAAATCAAGTCAAGAAAAAGAGTCGGCAAACATGAATTACAGTGATGTCATTATCAGGCTATAAAATAATAAGGTATTCACACCCATGATCCAAAATTGGGAAGAAGGCCCACTGGACACTATTAATATTATTGATGGGCTATGTCCAGTACATAACAAACAAGAATCTAATATGGATTGAGTCTATTAACACATGCCCTTGTTTTCAATAAAATTTTGTAGTCCTTACCTCAAAGTGGACTGATTCACAGTGTTAAATAATGGTCCAGGTGCCCCTCGAGGACCAGGCTCTCCCTTTGTTCCATTTTCACCAGGAGGTCCTCGAATGCCATCAGTACCATTCTAGGAAAATAACATTTGATAACTCAATTACTGATAACTGTAGGTTGCAGGATCTTTAAACTATCAGGTCCTATCAGATGGAACAAGCTGAGAGTTCTTTTATAAAGAAGACCCCCAATATTGTTTCCTATTTGGAGAGGACATTTTGTCATATAGTCCATCATTGAGTAAGAGTACTGACAGTTCTAGATTAAAATATATCTTAATCACAACACGTATCAGCATAACCTTTCAAGGTGGACCTTGATCACCTTTCTGAAACAGGAAATTTTGTTATATAAATATTAATATATACTAATAATAGTAATATAACTGAAATTATTGGTATTTTCAAATTGTACTCACTATCTGTTTTCTCATTTATTTGTTAAGAGCCTACAGTTAATTTTGGATATCAGTGCAACCTACAGATTAGTTAGTTATCTGGTAGATGAAAAAATGAAGATGTAGATGTAGACTGCTGTGAATGTATTCTAATTTACCATCTTAGGTGATCTTTGAGTGCGACAAGTACCAGCACCAAAAATAAAAAATAGAATAAGATCTTTTTAAGAAGATTTGTAAAATGTTTGGAACTAAAACATAAAGATCAAGCAGGAAATTAATTACCACATTTACTATTTGTCCTGGCTCTCCTTTCTCTCCTTTGGTACCATTCTTGTTGAGAAGATAAGAAGAAATTGGAAACAATAATTAAGTCATTAAAATAGACAAACATTTATCAAGCTGTTAAATGCACGTTTTGAAGTGCTGGTTGCTCATTTTTCATGAAAATGATTGGAAAAAAAGGTCAAAAGTTTTTGCTGTTAATAATGTTCTTAACAAACTGACCTGTCCAGGCTTTCCCATATCTCCAGTTTTTCCACCCTGGAAGGAAAAGAATGAAAAAAGTACATTCAATTTGTAGGTTGATCACTCAGTTATTTGCAGGTAGCACTGAGCTGAAATAAATTATCAAAATATGAAGTTTTATCTTACTGGGCCTTGAGGTCCTTGATCCCCTTTCTTTGATCAAAAAAATAGAAAAGAACATTCAAGTTATGGTTATTAAAAAACTCAAAAGCTTTGTTTTTATTACTAGAATGTTAGTAAACAATATTAGTGAATAATAGAGTGAAGATTTTACCTCCCCTTTAGCTCCTGTACTTCCTGATATATTCTGTGAAATGATAAACGAATTATACACATGATCATGCTAAAGGAATTTTTCCAGATATTTATGAGTGTGAACAAGGATGATATATATATATATACATACTGTCTTACAAAATGAGTATGGAGAGAGGTTCAGCGTGTGATACTTCTGCAAGGATTATCTTTCCTGCTACTTGTGCAGTGACAGTATAATAATAATATTATACTGAAAAAATAATAAAATTTTCAATGTATATGTTACAGGTCAAAATTAAATTCAGGTTAAAATTTTTTTAAGCTAGGTTGATCTTCATTTTCCTTTGTCTCCTAGCCCTAAATACATGAATAATTAAGGCTAGCTAGGAGACAAAGGAAATTGAGAATCAATTAACCTAGGTTAAAAAATCTAGGCTAAAAAATTTTAACCTGAATGTAATTTTGACCTGTAACATGTAAGTGAAGTAAAAAAGACTTCAAGATTCCCAAATCTTTCCAGTAAACAGGGCAGGGGGAGGGGGCTGTAAGTAGGCTGCTTCTCATTTTGGAGAAATGGCTATAGGCTCCCTGTTATCTAGAGTAATGATGCCACCACCACATCTGGGAAATCATTGCATGGCAAGCAAGTCCCCTTTCCTGTACCCGTAGCCAAAGATGGTGTATCTTAAGGTCCCCTTTGCAAGGAATTTAATGGGCGTAATCATGCTAGCAGGGTAGGTGGGAAAAGGCATAAGATTGCTTTTCTGTAGAAAAAGCAGGAAAAATGGCTACTCCCACAAAATACCTTTACAGCTATGTACCGCCCTATGAAGTCATTTTCTTGGGATTTATAATCTAGGATATGATGTGATTATAATATTTCAAATCTGTTTTGGTTCACAATTTAAGCACCAAAAAAGTGATGATAAATCTAAATTTGGAGGGCTATGGGTAGCACATGTCCAAAACCGTCATCAGACCTAAGGGCTTCTTGAAATGGATATTCAGTCATTGAACCTCAAAGGACTGAAAATGCACACTGCATACACGGTCTATCGCAAGCTGAAATTATGTTTTTCCAAGAAGATAAATGTCAGTGGAAGGACTCCATTCAAAAACATCCCCTCTAAAGAGGAAATATGTAGCCAAGGGGTGTTTTTCTAATGGAGACCGTCAGTTGGGGTTAAGCATTACCATAAACTTCTGCCAATAAGCTCGATCTGGGCTTATACAACTTTGTAAGGGTTTTGGGAAGGCTTATGAAGGGCGGGGCTTATATCCAGGGGGCTTCTAACCGAGCTGCAAAAGAGCATTTCAAAACAGTGCAAGATACTAAGCAGTACTGATCGAAATACCTTTCGAATTTACTCAAAACATCATAACAAATCTAACTCATTTTAATACAAGCAAAAGAGGGCTTATATCCAGGGGCTTTTTAACTGCAGGGATGTATTTTTTGTTTACAGGTAGATGGGCCAATAACTGGGGGGACTTATATTAGCTGAAGAAGTTAACAGTATTCAAATGCCGTACTAATGCATTTCCACCAATAAGAACTTGTTTTCCATGAGCAGGCTCAAACACAATGTTACCATCTTCACCAGCTTGTAAAACAAGGCTTCCACCTTTTGTAACAATTTTTGGAGGATTCCTAAAATAATAAGCAAACACAAAGCAAAGCAAAGATCAACTTAAATTTACCTGTTTTGTTTGAAAATTTGAGTATTTGGTGGTGACTAACCTGGGGGCCAGAGGGGTTTTTCTTTACCTAATTCCTGATGGTTTGCAAGGAAGCTGTGACAACGAGGCGCATGAACACAGTTTATTTCATCCAAGGTGTTTCAACAATGGACCTCTGTGGCCAGGGTAGGTGGTAACTATTTTTATGCGGGAAGGCTCCGCCCCAAGGTCCAAACCCTTATATCCTCTTATAAGCCATTTTTCACAAAAAAGGTACCCCTTTCATATACCTCATTTAGAATTTTGCATCCCTTTTAACTGCTGTAAATGCCTTGGCATTTAAATAGGAATTAATCACAAATACAGACCGTTACCCGACTTTATAAAGCCATAAAATTCATCCATTCGGCCCTTTGGGCCCTTTCACAGACCCAAATGACAGATTTCCCTACCCATTCATATACTTCAATGAGTAAAATCCCTACCCCTTTATTTACCTGAAGCCAGAAAAAGGTACCCCTTTGGGGCGGAGCCTCCCGGTATAGGCCATTATAGGGCTACCCCTGCCCCCTTCCCCCCCGGATGTTTTACTACGGAAGCTCCCAGGGAGCTCTGGAAAACAAAAACCTTAGGGCATTTTCGCAGAGCTCTACCTCGATTTTAATGAATTTTTTCTCTGAACCACAAACGATTAATATTGATAATGTAACTGCAATATTACACGTTGTATGTACTGTGATGGCTGAATCAGTCGGTGCAGTCAAAAGGTGGTCAACCATCTGACTATGCAGAAATGACCACATGTTTTATTCGGATTTAATTTAGCATTACCTACATTGTAGAAAGCAATTAATCTTATCAAAATATAATTCCTTAGACTCTTAGGTATCGCTCGAGATAAGGCAAACTAAACGCTGTGGTTTGATTCGATTCTCGCACAGAACACACGCTCAGCGGGGACAAGCCACGCAATATATATGACTTAAGTGTGCTTTTCTTTTACATCGTAGGGAATTGTTACGCTTAAACATAAACTTAAGGATTATATTCAAAATTTGACAAACCTTGCTGTGTTTTCAGTGAGACAACAGAGCAAAATACCAAGGATCATAGCGGACGACTGTACCTCCACCATTTTCGTTCGCTTCAAGAGGGGGGCGTTACCTGACAGGGCCCGGAAATAATCCCTTGTTATTTTTTAAAATCTGTTGAATATACCTACCATACTCAGGAATTACGCAGCTTTTTCGCCAAACTGATTGCCGTCATGAAAGGAAACCGTATTTATTGTTGAAGAGATTAGCTAGGGATGATTTCTTGTATCAAAAGAAGCGCTTTTATTTATGGGGATGGACACAACGGCCTGGACCCAGAGCGAGTTTAAGCAACCCTCTTTTTTGGCGCGAAAGTGCAAGAGCACGCGAGAACAGATGGTAATTTACATATCCGATGTCACGCAACATTTGAAATTGTTCGTGCATTTTTCATAAAGACCAAAAAACAACGCTTTATCGTGATTTCGATTTATCATGTCGAATTTAGAAAAACTGTGAACTTTCATGAGGATATGTCGTAAACTAATAGAGCATGGGGCTGCAAGTTGAGGTACTTTTACAAGGAAGTGGCGCAGTCTTGCCCCCACAGCCATACATTTCCTTGTAGTTTGCCGGAAGTTTGCGACTAATCCTTATGAAACTTCGCAGTTTAACTAAATTCGGTAAGAAAAATCGATCTATTGTTTTGGTTTTTTGAATAAATGAAGAATAAGAAAATTACCATTTTACGTGACATCTTCGAAAAGGGTTATTGGTACGTGTTACATTTTACATGGGCGAATCAGAAACTTCTGTTGGAAAAGTCAAATGTCACTTATATATCTCAAATGGTTCGCGCAATTCCGTTTGGAAAGCTTTCTAAATGTGGGCTGTGTTTCGATGCGATACAATTTTTCCACTCTTTTTGGTCTGATCAGAGGATTTGGATAGATTGATTTTACTTAAACCGTGAAATAGATAGTAGACTAATACCCAGTATTACACTCTCATTTCATTGTTTTCTTTTGTCTGTTTTGTTTACTCTGTGCTATTTGGCACTAATTGTTACATATTGTTTCATGCGTTTAGTAAAATCACTCTATACTTTGTAATGCGTCTTTCTTCCACTACGTCTAGTTTTCTTGTAGTTTTACGTTTACAGTATGCACAACATTTCCATCCGCGCAGTTTGTGTAATGATAAGCCCCCTGAGAAACCAGGTTACAGCAAAAGTAATGCCTTTGACACTCTTTTACTTTTTTCTCCTGGTCCCTAAGTGAGCAAGAAACTGAATATAAAAAAAAGAAAGGAAAAGAGAACAAAGGGAGCAAGAGAGAAAAATCTAAATAGATTCATGTAAAAAAGTCCAAATTTTGGCTTATGCACATGTGCAAAAAACAAAAAAAACCTGCTTAATTACATCTGATTAGTCTGAAAAAGATGTCCCTATTGTTGCAGAAATTATGTTAGGCCATTCCCAAAAAGTGAAAAATGCAGTTTTTTCCACTACTGGCTGACTGTCTTAAAAGAGTTAAAGTGCTTATATTACCAAATGGAATCTCACTGATTTTAAGTTAACTGGCCAGATCCTATCACTGTACTACTGAAAAGAAGGTTGAAATTCTTTAGACATAGATTTGTAGGATTATTTGAAATTATTCGCAGATGAGCAAATAAGTAGGCCAAATTCTGAGACAAATGAAACGGAAGTCAATCAGTCATGATGCAATATTGCTTGATTCACGTGACTTGAATGCATGTGTTCTCATCTTGGCTGCTGGTGGTAGTGAGCAGGAAGGATACCATTGTTTAAGATCACTCTTTCCTCTTTTCCTTCACTGATGGCTCACTCAGCAAGTTCAAAAAATTGCAGAGAAGCAGTATGGTGCAGAGTGATGCTGGTGTAAACATGATGGCAGGCTTTCCAAGCCAATATAGACCCTGCATCATTACAGTCATGACAATTAACAGTATCACTGTGCTTGCTAATTTCAGGGACCTTGGCCCTGCATACAGCAAAAGACCACATAAAACTGCAACATATCCAATCATGATGCGATGAAGTTCTGGATTCACATTTCGACCAAACCACACCTTTATAGGATGAACTTTTGCCAAGTCAACAAACTCTCTTTTCTGGTGGGTTGAAAATAAAAAACAATACTGTGATAAGCAACTGAAAAACTTCAAAAAGAGAAGGCTTATTGATGTACTGTAAATGATCTAATAGACGCACTCTCTCAAATAAATGCCTCTTGTCTAATAGACACCTCCCTTTTATTTTTTTGAGTTTGAATTAGATTCCTCTCCTTAACAAATGCCCTCTACTCTCCTCCTAATAGATACCCCCCCCCCCGCCCCCCATGACAATTACTTCAAAATACTAGGAAACAGCAAAAAAGGGGCAAAATCAGTTAATTTAGACCTCATTTGCACTTTGCAAAAATTTTGTTTTACTTGCAAAAAATCTGTCAACAGGAAGCCATTTCTAGTGCAAACAAAGGATAGGATAACGATGACAGCACAATGACCCTGAATGAGAATTCTGACATTGAGGTTGAAATTTGGATCTGCAGATGGACTAGACATATCAATGGATGGACTGGATATTTTGCTATTTTATAAACTCATTTTATTACTAGTGTTGTTGAGTTTGCTTTATGCATCAGTCAATTCCAGCTGCACCCAGCGCCCCCCCGGGCTGACTCTCGGGCATTAGCATTTTTTTTGCCTTGGATGGCAAATTCCGGGGGGTGGGGACTCTTGAGCTGTCAAATCCCCCGGGGTGGGGACGAAAAAAGAGGGCAAATGCCCCGTCCTCCGTAAACACTGCAACATTTTTCATTGATCGCATAGTTGAATAGTGCCGTTTTAAGCATTTTAATTTGAATTTTTTGTTTCAGTTAACGTCTTCCTTTGTAATAGTGCTATGATTCTAATTAAGACTTCACGCCGCAACGACATGCACCAGTTTATAATTTTGGTATTGATGTAAAATTATAACCATTAAAATAATAGAGTGCTGTCAAGTTATATGTTATGAATAGTTTTATAAAAATGAAAGGATGTTCTTCAAATAATATCAACAGAAATTTGATTCAATAACCAAAAAACGTTGATTCACGTCGATAGCTCCCGATTTCGCAATGTAATTCTGGCTCGATAAGCAATGAAGAAATGCATGCATAAAATCAAGAACATGCCTTTACAAACCTCTTCCTGATTTTTCCTGTCCTTGGCAGATGAGCCAATCTGCTTTCTTTCCCAGTAAAATCCTCTGTGTAGTTATTTTCTGATAGGAAACCGCGTGCGTGTCAAAAGCTCAGGAATGGCCCCGGGGTTGGCGAATGCCCGGCCCCCGGGCAGCACAAAATTTGCAAATGCCCCACCCCTGGGACTGACAAGGTGGGCAAATGCCCCGCAGTAGCCCGGGGGGGGTGCTGGGTGCAGCTGGAATTGACTGATGCATTACACAGTTATGAGAATAGGGTCATGTTCCATTTTTATTCCGATCCCCCCACCTTCCCTAGGATGAGCATCCTCAGCAGATAACTGGTAAGTAGGAATCTGTTTTCAAAGGAAACAACAAAAATGAGGCGCGTAGGAAAGGTTTTTTTTTCAAAGGGTTCTGACAAAAAAATGAGGTGGAAGGGTGGAAGGAATCCACTCATCCACCGGAGGGGAGGGGGGTTTGGAAAAAAAATGGAGTGTCTCATAAATGCAAATCCTTTTAAACGCCCCCTATCTATTTAACGCCCCTCTTGGAACCCTACAGTACAGTTGAATAAACATTCCGAGCATCTATTACATCATATTAACAGTACATGATATACACTAGTTTGTTACTGACAGTCCACTGCTGACAACTGCAAGGCCTCGTCTTCGATTGTGCGTGAGATTAATTAACTCATCACCTACGTACAGATTGCTGTTATTACAACAGCAAACTCTTCGGGCGCGAGAAGGCAAAATCAGATGATACGTATGATTACTTGCTCTACTAGAAACGTTACAGACTAAATTTAGACTTAGAGAACCACAGATCTTACCATTTGCTTGTGAACTTCTGGAGCCATTTTGTCAGTAATTTTCACGAGGCCTGCTGTACAGAAGGCAAAAACCAGCAATCCTGAGATTGAGCTTTTGATGGCTTTATTAACCATTTTACCTACAAAGCGAGGTGTAATAAGCAAATAATTATAATTCCAATATGGCTTCCACGGTATAAAGCGCAAGGCGTTATTTGCAGCTAGTCACGTGATCTAGAGGGTAAGGGGGATAGGGGGAGGGGGAGTACTGTAAAAAGCTTGTAAAAGAACGAATAAATAACTTTTTCTGTTTTGTTTTTGGGCAAGAATAATCTGAAATAGCAAGAATAAGCAAGACTAAGCAAGCATAAGCAAGAATTGAGCAACAATAATCTGACCTAGCTCATTCTCCCTTGGTTTGAGTGATCAGTGGTGGCTCAACGGGAGGACCCCGCCCGCGCCCCCACCTCATTTATAGGCCTAGTCTATTCCAGGCGTTCAGACAGTAGAGTGCGACGCGAAGTCAGAGTGTAGGACCCGGGCCTACCCCGCCCAATCGCTGTTTTCCCTTGTCGCATCTCTTTGCACTGTCCCCACAATCTGAACGCCTGGAACATGCTAACCAACCTGAAGCCCGCAGGGCTAAGAGAAATTATTTTCTAGGCCGGGCCCCCCTCTTTGGATGAGTGGGAACTCCACCTACATAGATCTGAATCTGCTACTGGTGATAAAGTTAGGCCTATAAAAGGGGGGATCCTTGGATCTACTACAGTGTTTTTAATCAATTGTCTACAGCTATTTCAAGAAAGGTTGTCCGAAAATACAGGACTTAAAATTACGAAGTAAACATGTCGCCCGATGCGCGGACGAAAAAATAAGCAAAACAGAAAATAAAGTTACGGTCGCTCATTGTGTTGTTGAGCACCTTGACCATCAAAATTGACAAGTCTTATATAACGTCTATTTTAATAATCAAGTAAAAAATCTCTTTAAAAAATGGGACGGGATCGGGATTCAGGCGTAAAATAGGGCGGGATCGCGGGATTGCGAAGAAAAAAAATGCGGGAAAGAGAGATTTGAGAACCCCTATTGTGGACCCTCATCAATACGCTGTTCCTGGCACTGTAGCTGCATGTCGAATCTTCTACTTTTGCTTTCCTTCAGCATGAGCAAACATACGTTTATGGCCTCTTGTGCCACTTATTCAAATTTCTCCGAAGAACAGTGAACTCAAAACCACCCACAATACCTTTCGGGTTTGTCGCGTGCACTTCATCCGACAACCTTTCTCGAAATCAATGTATGCAAGTGAGCAGCTCGGTACCTGAAGAGTGGTATGGGGAAGAGAGATGTGAAGGAAGCTACTGAAAGGCTTCGCAAAGTTTCACCCTGGGAGTACGAGTAGGCGGATAGCAAAAGTCAACAACAACAAGAACATGTAGACGAATTTACTGTGCACAAATAATTTATTTACATATATAACTAGTCTTATAAGGACTACATACATTAGGCCCAGCAGTAAAGAGCTGAACAAATTCTTTAATTCATCTTTTGATGTCAAACGGCTGGAATAAGATTCAGGTGACGTGTAAATGGAAGTTCATCCGTTAATTTCAATTTTACCTGGCGTTTCCTTCCGAAGAGGTCCATAGGCGCCTGCGGTCCTCTTTTGGAACATAATTGATAAAACCTGTTCTGTACCTACATTTTTGCTTCCTTTTTAAGTTTAATGTAATGCCCGTTCTCAGGTATTACAAAACTCCGTTATAGGTATAAATAATCAGATAGTAAGATCAGTTACTTTTATTTTACTCCACCCTTTCTGTCTCTTTTGACGTAAATAAAAATGCCTGAACTTAGTCCATGAATAGAAGATTTGTTAACCTGATAGTAAATTACAGTCTCATGTTATGAACTAGTAAGAATTCTAAGGCCTGTTTCGAACGTCGTGCTACTACCGTGCCAAGCTGGCTAGACTGTAGCTCGACTGCAGCACGACACTAGCACGACTTGGTTTCAGTCGAAAAGAACGGCTGTTGCCGAAAACAAAACACAAAAATAAAGAAACGGTTTAGCAAACTTTTAAATATATTCTAATGTATTTATAATTTATGAATTGAGTTCGGCACGGCGGTAGCACGACGTTTGAAACCAAGTCGAGCTAATGCCGTGTATGTAGCACGGCAAGGCTTGCCGTGCTACACGGCAGTAGCACGACTTGGTTTCAAACATCGCACTACTACCGTGCTAAAGTCGAATTTAATTGGATCAATTGAGTTCAACACGGCAGTAGCATGACGCCCAACAAGTGACCTCCAAATTGACTGCCTACAAATAATGGTCTGCTCATGGGCATGACCCTGAAAAACCCTATCCGGAGCCAACTTAATAAATTGTGTGAGCAGTTGAATTCATCTGCCTGNTGAGTTCGGCACGGCGGTAGCACGACGTTTGAAACCAAGTCGAGCTAATGCCGTGTATGTAGCACGGCAAGGCTTGCCGTGCTACACGGCAGTAGCACGACTTGGTTTCAAACATCGCACTACTACCGTGCTAAAGTCGAATTTAATTGGATCAATTGAGTTCAACACGGCAGTAGCATGACGCCCAACAAGTGACCTCCAAATTGACTGCCTACAAATAATGGTCTGCTCATGGGCATGACCCTGAAAAACCCTATCCGGAGCCAACTTAATAAATTGTGTGAGCAGTTGAATTCATCTGCCTGTGTCTTGATTTTCTTTTTCTGTTTTTGACTTTTCTTCACTCTCCCTTTTTTGTCCACGGCTACTAAACCTGAGTTAAACTTTGCCGAAAAATTGGCTGAATGGCTTCTTTTTGACAGTTCCTTAATATGTTAATTTAAAGACTCTTAAAAGTATTTAAATTACTTCGCATAATTTGTTGTAGTTTCATTTTAAAGTTTATTGTTTTGCCACGATACAAAGCAGGAAGTGCTTAAATATTAAAACGTTAATTGCGTGGAAGCTCAAGGAACTCACTTAACTTGTACGAAATAGGCTCCCTCAATTAATTATTATAAAAGGAAGTATTATCAGAAGTATACAAGTCAAATCAATGACAGAGATACCAAACAGTACACATTATAATGTATAATATTTATGTTACCTCTTTTCTTAAGCATGGCGGCGTTACGATGAGGCCGAAACGTCAACTTTTTACTATTATTTATACTTGTTTTTACTTCAGTAAATCACTTGTCATTCATTTTTAAAATCTAGAGATCCTCCCTGTGGCAAAGTAATGGAAAGTATAAATTGAGTACCACTTCCTAAACGTGCTTCAGGGGAATATTGAAAAAATGTTGTGTTCAGTCAGGATGCTAGCACGCAATGTTTATACTTTTCGGTCTGGTGGAACTGTCTTTTGTGGTGATTCTGAGAAACTGACTTTTCTGAGAAACTCTCATATGTCTTATTATTGTCTACAGCATCACTTAATGAATACAGCTCAACTACTAACTGCACACCCTACAACCACCAATCGACCAACTACAGTCTACCAACTTATCTGCACCAGATGTTGACAACTTAAATAACTTGAATGTAGGTACGTTCAAGCTTGCTGACCATGAAAATTACAAACGCTTTTTTCAATAAACAAAGTGTAATAAACAAACCTATAAGCTTAATAATTTCAAGCAAGAGAGAACCAATGTAAGCGTGACAGCTAAACCCACGAAGCTCTAGCTTAGAGCAAAACAGGAACTCTAATGTAGCTAACAATCAAGGTCAGCGATAGTCCCAATAAACGTGCCCATGACAACTTCAAGGACTGAAACTCAAATTTAATAAATGACATTTATGTTGAAAAACTAGATAGATATACAAACAAACTCGTTTGAAGTTAAGCTAAAGTTATTGTTGTGGATTCTATTTTAGGAGTAAAAAGTACTATGACAGTAAAATAGCAAAGTTTGCCAAGTCCGCAAGGCGGCTTTTAGCACGTAGTTTCGCTTTGAATAGAATTGCAAGCTAAACTAGCGGCTTTCTGGGAACGTAGCAGGACTGTCTAATTGCCTAGTTTTCACCTACAACAAAAGCAGACCGAATTTGCAGGTCAGCAAACTTTTGAAATTTTAAATTTTAGACGAAGCGACTGTTTACGGAAGTAAATTAAGAACTATAATATATTTGCAGAAAAAACTACGTGATCGCTCAAAAACTGTACTTCAATTAAAAACGAGCTATATTCGCTTAACATTGTGTTACAGTGAAATGCTACCCTGTTGTAGAATAAAGCTAATTAAGAAAAAATATTGAAGCTAGAGTAACTGTTATTGAGAAAATCAATATTTTTGAAATCATTAGTAATCATTACACAGTGTCTGGACTAAACTTTATAAATCATGCTTCGCTGAGTTTGACCCATTTTGTTCATCAGTTATGTCAAACTTGCGTGGTGCATTCCAAGTCTTTCGGAGATTTTCCGCTGGCAACTATGATTCCTTTTTCTTCTCTTTTCATGTCCCTCGCCCCTTGATTTTCGAAAGTTTCGCCGCAAGTTTCAATCTCCTGACCCTCAGCTTCTGACTGACATTTCGTTGTTACGACGAAGACCTCTGATGTATTTTCAAACTCGAAGAATTTGCGAAAGAAAAATATGGCCAAACTTCCTCTGTAGCCAACATCCAAAGCTAACAAAACGCTGTCTAATTCATGGAACTCGCTTTGACGAGTTATCGCTCTTGCGACCAAAAATGAATTGTACAAAAATAATGCAAGCATTCGCGAACCGTAAGCGAATAAAGTTATTCGATACAAGATCATCAGCTTTTCATCTCTTCCTCCACGCGGAAAATGTTCAGTAAACCAATTCCTCACGGTAGAAAGTTGCACGAAGCTAAGAGCACAAGCTAACATTGTAGTCGAAGCGAACTCTAAGAGCAACGACACGCCAAGCACAACAAGAATAGGATAGTTTTCGTTAATACCCGGAATAATATCTATAAGAACGTTTGTTATGATACGCGCACACCACAAAGCCGTCCACATCCAAAAATGAGCCTGTTGTACAAGAGCCCTGAGAAAGTTTTTGAAGTTGAAATTTTTCCATCTATAGATGAGGAAGATCAGAAAGCAAGAAAC